CTCTTTACTTCTCTGACTAGAGATGATACATATGTAAGTCAGTGACGGTACAAGAATAAATTGAATAACGAAATATCGGAAATACAAATTAATAAAGAAAATAAAAATATCGATATGACATATATTTTATTGGTATAATTCCGTTTTTGAATACTTAAAATTTTATTTAATCAGTCATGATTTTTTGAAAGTAATGATAGAAAGATAATAAAGGAAGCATAATATTAATCAATATAACAATTTTATGCAGATCTAGACAACCAGAGACACATTCCTTCCTTCTCTAATATTGAAATAATTGGACTTAGTCATATGTCATGTCAGGCTTCAATAAATCGCCTCGGCGACTGGAGCGACTTATATATGATAGCTGTACCTCATGATCTGAATGACAGCTGGAAGATAGAAATGAATTGCCTAGCTTGGTCTCTAATTCCTCCTGGGCGGAAACATGTGAGCAGCTCCTGGCTATCTTATAGAGATTCTCGTACTTTTGCTGCAAGGTGAGTAAGTTCGATTTGCCAGGTCCTTCATAGAAGTCCTTGGCCGTGAATTTGCAAAAGTCGATTAGCCCCAGTAACTCAGAAATATATTCCCCATTTATTTTTGCTTTCCCTTCGATTGCCGGAGCAATAAATATTTTCTCATCGTCACTTTCTGTGTCTGTAGGAGCAGTATCAGGAGCATCCAGATCGTGATACTTTATGTACATCTCAATCAAGTTGAAGCGCTCTGGCTCACTGAGTCTGCTCTCGACCACCTCAATATAGCTTTTGAACACATCTGTGCTAAACTGGTATATGGCCGAGTGGTTGAGCACCCTCTTGGCGTGATTCTTCAGGTCACGAGAAACATGGTCGATCAGCAACGAGTAATCCAGTGTGTGAGCGCACTGGAAAAGACGCAGAAGCTCTTCTGTGTCGAACATTTCCTTGCGGTATAGCAGATGTCGCACACAGTCCTCCTTGATGGACTCTACCAGGTACTTGTTGCCGAACTCCGCTAGCTTAACAAGTGTATCGAAGTCGTATACTTCAAGCCTCTCGTCATCGTAGCCGTACACATATTCGCGAAACTTCTCAAACACCTTTGGCTCCACGTCGTTCAGCTTCACCTCTCCGCTGCTGGACTCATTGTAGTTGCCATAGAGCGATCGAGCACCTCAGAGGCGCAGTTAAAGATCAGCTTGTGGCACAGAAATACCTTACTTCCTTCCGTAGTTTCGATAATAAATTTGCAGTCGGCATGGCGGTTGGTACGCAAAATGTCGGTCAAAGAATCACGCATCCTGTAGTTGGGGAAAATTAACAATTTGGATCATGATTCATACAAATATGTATATAGTACCATGTAGTAATCATTATTTTAAAATATTCCTTTTGTCTTTAGAAAAAAATAGAAGTAAATGGCTCAGATATCGTATCTCAAATAATTCTCCCGATGCTGCAGTTAGCAAAATAATTTCATTCGGTCAATTTAAAAATGTTTGCTTTGTTCTTAGAAACGTTCAAGTCAAAAGTGCTCGAATATCAGAAACTCTGAACTCTACAAAGAGTTGCTACTATCGGAATTTATTTGAATTGAATTCCTTTTGTAGTGCGACTATTTTCATGAACCTTCCAATCATGAATTTCTTATTTCTTATCATGAATTTCTAGTATCTAAAATACGTTTCTTTTTTTTCAAAATTTGTGGCGAAGGGGATGTGATATCTAATAACTGTAAATTTCAAAACCTTTATATCCGTCAAATGTATATACAATGTAAATCTATATACATATAGTCTACATCTATAAAACAATGTCGTGTTTGTTACAAGTCTTATAACTTGAGATCTGCTTGACCAATTTTCATGGTTTTTGATTTGTTGGATTTGTCTCCGCCCCGAAGAGCAGAATATATCTTAACAATACTGGAAAATTGACGAATACTTAAATAATACATCTAAAAGTTCTTTAATTTGAATTTTCTCAGTAGGCTTGGTACCATTTACAGTTTTTGGTCATGCTCTTATGTAAAACAATTATTCGTGAACATATTATTAATACGTGACCGAGAATATATATGGTGTTTGTACTTATCAGTTAATGTGGTGTAGGTACTGAAATATTTGTTTTATTAAGTCCCGTCGAGCCCACGTGACCTGTGGAACAAATGCAAAGATAACATATCAGAAGACATTTTATATCGAATTTGTGTCAACTCAAGAAATCCCGATCTTGAGGCGAATCAGGAGATGCATAACCAGGCGTTGATCTTGATCGAAGATATGTGTTACCTCATATGCGGCAGTTTGTTAGGTTAGTAATACCAGCGAAACATCGCGGAATGAATGACGCATTTAATGGAGAATTAGAACGTGAACGTGAATGTGATCCACATGAACTAATCCAATCAGTTCAAACGAATGTACCACTGTTGAATCCTAAGCCGAGGGAAGTCTATGTATGATACACTGATTAATGCAGTCGATGATGGAAATAGTGGCTTTTTATACCCTGAACCCATTGAAAAAAAGTATGTAACAGGCAGAAGGAGGACTGGCAGACCCCACAAAGAATATACATATATTCTTGAGCAGGGCGACGAGCTGAATCGATTTGGTCCTGTCCGTCTCTCCGTTTGAACGCGTCGATTTTAGAAGATATAAGAGCTAGAGACTTAAATTTTTTTTAAATGTCCGTACACAGCGCGTGCATATAAAATCGATAACTCATTCCGACATTTTTTTTATCGAAAAAAAAGTATCGAAAATCAGCTATGAAATGATATCTCCCACATCTTTAAAGCCAGAGTCTTAATGTATATTAATTTCGGTGTTTGTTAAAATTTACCCCCACTCCTATATCCACCCCTCACCCTTATACATATTTGTAAAAGGCGTACCTCAAATACTAGAGACTTGTGCTTCCGAATTTACACACATTTAAACAATACGATTATGTTCTGAATATTTAATCAAGATCGTACGTCTAGAAATTAAATTATTCAACAAATAAATTCTAAAACAAGTAGGAAAACTCTAGTCGAGACTGCTCGACTAGGAGATACCCTGAACCCTCCAATCTGATATTCTACTCACTCTACACTTCGTTTAGGCACACATACATACACACGCACATATTAGAACGCGCTCTGCTAACTGCGCAGAAAGCGCGAATAATTATTGAAATATCAGTTGCTCGAAGTTCTTAGGAGGTCTCGACTAGAGCTTTCAAACCAATATTTTTTTATGCGCCCGGTGGAACTGGTAAGAGATTCCTCATGTCTTTGATTTTGGCCACTGTAAGTATTGGATCCGAAATTGTGGTAGCCATTGCTTCTTCTGGAATAGCGGTCACATTGCTAGACGGATACCGTACGGCTCACTCTGCGTCAAAATTGCCGTTAAATCTTCAAACTACAGAGCAACCGACATTTCGAAACACTTCACAATGGCCAAAGTTTTAGTAGCATCAAAAATTATCATATGGGACGAATGCACAATGGCGCACAAACGTGTATTGGAAGCACTAGAACGAAAATTAAAAGATGTTTTGGTGGCTCGATGATTTTATTATCTGGTGATTTTCGACAGACACTACCAGTAATTCCAAGATCTATTGCTGCCGACGAATTGAACGCTTGACTCAATGCATCAAATCTGTGACGATATGTAAGCAAACTTCAAACGATCTATCGGCTGATGATTTTTTGAAGCCATTGCTGAATATCGGTAATGGCCGTGTTCTTGACGAATCGAGCGGTTTTATTTCATTTCCTCCAAATTTTTTCTATTTCGTCTCATTAAAAGCTGATCTTATCAGCAAAGTATTTCTGGATATCAATACTAAATGGTTAAGTGAGCGAGCAATTTTGGCGGCTAAAAATAAAGATGTAGATGACCTCAATTTTATAATTCAAAATGAAATCGTAGGTACTCTGTACTCAGTCAAATCCATCGACTGTGTAACAAACGAAGAAGAAGCCACAAATTATCGAACTGAATCTTTGAACTTCTTGGATGTGTCTGGTTTACCAACGCACAATTTACAACTGAAGGTTGGCTCGGTAAAACAAAAATGTCGTTTACCACAAGGTGCTGGAATGAAAATCCGATTAATAAATTCAGCAGAGTGTATGTTTTCATCATCATTCATAATAATAAAATACTTTTATATTTCTATCAATATTAATATTGTTCAGCTAAAATGTAACACGATATTCTTTGACTGTTAGGCGGTTCGAAGTTCACCAGGTAAGCTAGTATATGAGAAATCGTTTTTATAAAATTATTTTGATTTGGAAATTAATTATCCTCAAAAAACAAATCAAAATAATTTTATAAAAACTCTTTAATTAATTTTAATTTTAATTTCCAAATCATGTGCTCTGTACTATTTGATTATGTTTATATTGCCAAAGGAAATTTACAAGACAGAGGTAAATGTAATCTCAGCTTTTTCTTTAAATCAATTACCATGAAAATAAAATTTAATCAACAGTTTCTTTTACCGAAATTTCCAATCTATAAAACATCCATGTGATAGCATAATGTATTTCAAAATGTTTCAATACATCAAGTTCAAGCCCGAGCAGAAAATCGAAATTTTTCGAGAGCAAGCGTATCGATGTTAACATCAATGATAGAGAATTAATTAATTGCTTGTTAATGATGTCGCAATCCAAACGTTAACCAAGCCAGTGACAACATTTTGCGTACACTTGCGAATTTTTATTGGCATCGGCTTGTTCCCCAGCGAGAAACAAGAAAACACAAGAAACCCGATGATGAAATAATGGGGCCAACTGAACTAAACTGAACAGCGTCTGTTCTCTCTTGTGAGCACTTCGGCCAGTTGTCGAGTCGAAGACATTGCGTAATTATGCAAGCCGCTCAAATCAAGTTTTTCCTAGGCCGCAGCGACGAAAGTGAGGTACAATATTTTTGAAATTCGGTAAGCAATTTCCACGCGTGCAACTTAGTTTTCATTCATTGCTTGGCGAGGTCAGTCGCTAGGAAAACAGAGCCGCAGACCATAAAGAGATCTCTTCGATACCAAGATGAGGGAACTCATACGACGCGCTGTGCTCCTGGGATTGCTCATTCGCTTCGCTCGGGGTGACGATGCGTTTCTGACTGATCCGCGTAAGTGTCACGTGGATTGAGAGCTTAGTTATCAGGCTTAACACTTAGATCTAGCTTTGATGGGTTGTGGCTGGCGATTGCTTGGCCGAGTGCAGCGCTTGCTTTTAGCTCAATTTTAACATGAATCAAAAACCACTTGGCGCTGGCTAGGCCGGCACGCAGTGTTACTAACCTACTTCATGGCTTATTGTCAAATATTGCACCACTAAACCGGATCTGTTTCTCTGTATTTATTTGTGTCTTTTTATTTTGAAATTCAACTCAACTGAAATCAAAACCTCAATTTTAATCGAACCGCAGCAGATTACATCAAAGAATGTAAAATAGCCGATACGAATTTTGTCAACTGCTCCACGCAAAGCATTCAGCAGCTCTTCGACAAGCTAAACGATGGTAAGTCGCTGACATAAACACGGCCTGGGGTATCTAACTGGATATTACAGGAATTCCGGGCCTCACAAGCATCAAAAGCTTTGATCCTTTCCACTTGAACCGCATACGCATATCGCAAGGCAATAGCAATGCGATCAATCTGAAAGTCGAGCTGGCCAACATCAAGATTTTTGGATTCGGTCACACCAAAGTGATTGAGAGCTTGTAAGTCGCACCGTGAGGCGCACTCACCTCGTTATATTACCTGCTTTGCTTTGCTCTGGCAGAGTTTTCAAAAAGGACTACAGCTGGAAGACCACATTCACGTTGCCGGTAATGAAGCTTCAAGGCGACTACAGTTTATTCGGGCGCATTCTGCTCATACCATTAAATGGGCGTGGTCAGGTGTTTTTAGACGCAGGTGAGAGTAGCTCAAAGATATTCGCTTCCGTCCACTGGCTAGTGTCCTTATGCAGATAACATGACTGTCACCATGCACACCAAGACGCGACTGTACACCAAGGGCGGCTTCACTTTTTACAATGTGACCAACTGTCGCGTGGACTTCAAAATGGATGGCCTGAAGTCCTACTTCTCTAATTTGTTCAACGGCAACAAGCAATTGGGTGAGCTCTCTCCTCTCTCTCTCTCTTTCTCTCACACACACACACACTTTCTCTCATTCTCTGTATGTCACCCTCTACTCTTCAATTCTGTTTCTTGCAGAGGACAGCACCAATAAATTCTTCAACGACAACTGGCGAATGCTGGCGGATGCTCTATACACTGTTATCACGCAGACAATCGAGGACATTCTGCTCGATGTTCTGAAAAAGATTTTCCACTTCATACCAGCGAACTACTTTGTCAGCGATATTCCCACTCCGGAACAGCTGTATGGTAAAGCGAAGCCGAAACTAAAATAAACGTAGTTCAAGAACTTTGAGCTCTTAGTGATATTTATTGGTTTCGTTATCGATATAAGATTATTTAAGCTGACTAACTATGGTTTTCGCAATATGAGTTATGTCTTGCTTTCCCTCGAAATATATTTCGTCGAATCAAATGTGAATACTGTGTTCAATTAAAACCATAAAAAAGTTGGGCGTTACCGACTGCGCAATACTCATTCACTCCCCATCAGCGATTAAGTAGCCAAGTTTTGCTCTAATACTGTTGAAAATTCAGATTTTCTCAATTCGCCACGCCCTTACTGGGCGTAGACTCTTCATTTTTGGCCAGCTCATTGAACAAGCTAACGGTAACGTGGCTGCAGAATTTGGAAGCTTACGCTCAAAAAATGAAAAAATTACAGGGTATTTTTTGATTTGCCACACCCCTATAGGGAATCGATAGAGGAGGTTACTAGTAACTTAACTATCCAAATTTGAAGCTTCTAGCTCTTATACTTTAAGAGATATAAACTTTTGCGGTTTGCCACACCCTCTGTGGGCGCACATACATATGTCACAATATCTTCAAGTCCGATTTTCCACGCCCCTGAAAAGCGCAGACATATAATCTACATTCCAAATTTCAGCATTCTAGCTCTTCAACTAATATGATTTCTGGTATATCGGAAAATGCATTTTCCGGTTTGCCACGCTAGTGACCCCGCCCACGCACATACACTGGCGAATGCGCTTGGGTTGCGCTGCAGTGCACTGCAGTGTTGGCAATATTATAAGAACTTATATGTTGAATAATTTAATTTCTAGACGTACAATCTTAATGAAACTTTCAGAACGTTA